AATTCTAATGAGAATGCATTAGCGAAGTAAAGCACTGCACTTTTACATAATTTATGAGTAAGCTATTCGTACGCATTGAAATATTTCTTGCATTTAAACTTGTGTTCCAAATTAAGTTTTAACTTGAAATTAATGTAGATAATTACTGAGAGCATTAGATTTTTGTAGAGTAGTTTACGTGAGATGAGATCGCTTGGGGTCACGTGATATGAACCGGCGAATCAGGATGTTGAACCATGAAAGCATAGTAAATTCTTAAATTGAAAGCATAGTAAATTCTTAAATTAATGTCTTTTTACAAATTTATTGTCTTTTTATAAAGTTTCAAGCGATATTAAAATGTTTATGCCTTCAAGAAAAGAATTCTTAGAACTAAAATTTTTTTAATATTTTTTATGTGTATACTGTATGTTGTCGCCAATAAAGTCTGCTTGGCGAGATTTGCGCCGGCGAAACGGAAAAGTACCTTTTATTTTATACTCCAGCTTTCATCGATTCCCAAGGTGGTCTTAAATTACATGCTATTCATAATACAAAATATTCTTTCATCCTCCCAAGGCACACATAAATGCTCTACTACATGAATAAAATTTAATCATTATACAGCACGCTGAAACCAAAAATAACAAAGAATTGAAACTAATATTATGGAACAAACGCAATATTTAAGAGGAATCAAGTCGTTATTGAGCTGCAATGCTGGCACAATCGAAAAGTGAGAATTTTGAGTTGTGACCGCTTCCCAGTATTGTAAAATTGTCTTCCTTACGGCAGTAGCACTGGAACATATTTCAGTGCAGCACCGCATAAGAAACGGCAGTAGTTTCCCTGTTATATTACTTAATGTCTCGCGTAGAGGTGCTTGACGGGAGCACTCAATACTGACCCTTCTTGGATTGTGCCAAAGCTGCTCAGTGATTTAACTCATTTGTTGAAGTTTATCTCAAATCATACCGTTATTTGCAATGTTTTGGAAACAGCAACTATCTCTAATGTGTTTTATGCGAATTGAGAAGCGTTCTTTTATTCATCATTTTGCAACAGTCTAAAATTTGAATCATAAAAATAGGCTCTATTTTGAAGGTTACCTAAATATAGGCTATTCTTGGGAAATGAACTTTTAAAAAAAATTTTTTTGGGCTGTTTGATTAATGATACAGAACTGAAACATCAATAATGTAGTTTTAGAATGTTGTAGTATATGTCACAGCGTCGTAACGTAATTAATTTAATTGCTTGTCTTTAATATTTTTCATTATTATGAACCATAAATTTCCAGTATAATTCAGTGTAATGTAAAAAAATGAGAACAATAACACAATTTGATGAAATTTATTATTAAATAACATTAATTTTATACCATTTTATTATTATTATTAACTGAACTTCTACGACGCCTTTTAGTAATGTTTTTTCCTTAGTATATCAGCTAAACATGCCATTATTGCAATTTTTGGAAATATTGCAGGGTTTTGGGTAATTGCAGCGATATTTGATCAAGCATTTCAAAACTACGGAAAACTTCAAACACGTTTACCTAGAAACCCTTTTTTAAGTTGTGCCAGTATTTCAACTCGTAAGACACATTGACAATAGGTCCTTTTCTCGCTTATGTTGATCAGCATATTTCTATAGTTCTGATTGATACTGTTACTATAAATTTTTTTCCAAGTTAAGGATGTTTAAGAATGCTTTGAGCAACTGACTGATGAAAGGGAACTAGTAGAAATGTTGGGCAGATGCAGAATATTTAAACGACGTGACTCAGCAATAAAATAGTACAGTCCCCTTCAAACTAGGATTGTTGAGTACCTTAAATGTGGATGAATATGCTTTCAACAAAATGACACAACAAGCTGGCTCCAGATTCAACATTTTTTGGGTTCAAAGATCCTGTATGCAATAATTAATACCTGAGACTCAGTAATATGTAAGCCCAGACTATTTTACTTAAAAGCTAGTGCTTAGTTCTAAAATTAGTGCAGTTCTAAAATTTATGATCACAACTGAAAGCATTATACGATTTCTACATATACCCACAGAGAAGGTGTTTTATTTTTCCCGGTTATTAATTATTCCAAACTTACTGCACAATAATGAATAACAGTTTATTAGCAATAATTTTACTTAATATGTTAAGTTTTTTGTATAAAATTTAGAAATAAAGATGCAGCGTCGTAAAATTTACAACGGTTTAGTAACTATGCAACTTTTTCCGATCTTTAAAGGAATACAAGATTTAATAAATGGATTTAATGCGAAATCGTATTAACTTTTAGGTGAGATAAATTCAGTTTTCTCCTATACGAAAACTACACAGCTTCTGCAGAAGGCACAGTTTATCTTTGTAACTCAATACTACAATCTTGATAAAGAAAATGCTATCGATGAAACTGCCAAATATCACGTGTATGCAGTAGACAGCCTGAATCTGATAAAACTGCTCTAAATCTTTGAAACAAATTCAATCTCTTTCAACACTGAATTTGTGCATGTCATCTATTTATTGCGATAAACCACGCGTTCCGTAAATAAATTTAAAGCTTCCGATGCAAAATATATTTATTTTATCTGAACTAATTTGATTTAATAACATCGAAATTAAACTATATTTCCAAACATGAAAGCACCGAATAAATGTGCGAAAATATTCAGTGCTTTCACGTTTGGAGTGCGAAAATATTCGGTGCTTTCATGTTCCATATATTGTGGGTTTACAATATTTTTGGATTGAGTTCGAACAAAATCGAAAGCTGAAAAAAGCATTCTTACTTCTGGCCTGTTCAGTACAGGCAGGTTCATGCCGCTGCTTAACTGCTTTGAAAAATTCATCTTTTGTAATGCTGCGTAAGTCTCTTGTTACAATTTTCAGAATCTCTTTAATGCTATTAAAATTAAATTGCTTCCTTAAAATGAAAATTCACTCCAAGGAAGAGAAAGTAGTCTACAAATGCCAAAAATGATGAACAGAAATGGTTAAAAACCGTTGCATTTGATTTCGCTGGAAACCGCTCGACGAGAATGGAATTTGTGAGGGCGCACTGTCGCCCAAAAAGAAAATCATAGTTATTTGACTGAGCATTTTCAAACCTAACGCGCAGAATTCTTAAGCGTTTTTATAAAATATGGAGTTCAACAGTTCTTCAGAAGAAAATTTCCTATGAATTATCCGATTCTAATCAAATAACGGTCACTAATTTGGTCTTTACTCGAAATGCTACCCTAAATTTTTGAAACCAAAGTTTCAGTTTTTGTGAATCTTTTCCAACCCAAGAAAATGACCGCCATTTTTTCCTTTTTCTTTTCTTCTCCCCCCTCCCAGATTATAAGCAATAATCTCCAGCTACAATTTTTTTGAAAAAATAAGGATTTATTCCCGCGTTACCACGAAAACATTACCATTATCCTTTTCTTAGCTTTCGAGTTTACAACAGTTGACTCTAAAGATATAACTAAATTTGTTAATAAATGTAAATGAAAGTTACTATATTCAAGGAAACATTCAAGGTCGAAGAACGGATCTGATAAAGAAAGGTAAAAAAGTCTTCTTTCTATGTTTCCTGTTCAATTTCTAATTTCTATGTTCTTATTATCAGTCATATCCATTTATAAATCCATGGGCGAATACTGATTGGTTATGTACGAACGCATATGGATTCATAGTCCATACTGTAGCAGAGCTCACATTACATGGATTCATAGTCTGCTATATTTGTTAGAGCTTATAAATGGGTTAATTGTTCAGAGTGAAACTGTTTCCGAGTTCATCCATGGATTCAAAATAATGGATGATTTTTTGGAATTTATACTTGAGTTCATAGCATTTAAAGAGTTATGATAAAGGACAGATTGTTAGAATAAAATTACCTACCCAGTATGTGGGTTTCTGCACTAAAATTATTTACGTATGCTGTTACAGAACATTCATTCACAAAGCCAAATAAAGATAATTTATTCATGTGCAATTAGAATGTTATTTTACTATTTATATACGTATTTATGTAATTTTTTTTTATATTTCATACCAACCAGTTAGAGGATAAGTTCAACTTTTAAGAGCTATACAATTTCTATATACAGTAAACTCTCTAACAGCGACCACATCCCTTCGAAAATCGGTATTGAATCTATTCTGTATAAGACAACCAGAAAGACTAGCTGCAGCTGCGAGTGGTTGTAGTTTTTTCATGCATATTCTTATAGTTGACATTATTCCTACAGTAGTTATAGTTGTAAACACGTCTAACCCACATATTCATTCCCGAATGAATTATTTGATTTAGTTTTTTTTTTCGTCTAAATTTCTACGGTTCCTATGTACGTCAGTTTTTTTAATATTTAGAAGTATGCTAGAATGTCCAGTTACGTAACAAATAATAATGCATTATTTTTTGCTGAAATAATTATTTTAAAACAACCTTAATTTAAGCAATAACTAAGATAAATGAATATGACGTAGCTTGAAAAATAATTAATTTAAATAACTTCTTTATAAATGGTTTCAGCTGAGAAAATTCTCTGCTATTAAATTAGTAAACCAATCCCTCTTTTCTCAGTGATACACAACTCAAACCTAATATAACGGCATTAAGTGCAAGGGAAAAAAAAATACCGAAAAAGATCCAACAAATTTATACTTGTAATCAAATAACATGTAATTAATGGTAATATTTCTTAAAATAATCGTAAAGTGGTTATATCCATGGGAAACATTTTACACGAAGGGATAAAAATTAATAAAATTCTCGTCTCCTAAAATTTCAAAAAAAAAAAAAAAAAAAAAAAAAAAAAAACTACACTGAAAGTTTTTTTAAATAATAAGAAAGAAAGAAGAACAAAAAAAGTTCTTGTTGCAGTCAGAAATAACCAACAAACGTTAACAATCACCCATCAAGTCTTGAAGAGTGCATTTGAAAATGATATCGAATTGGATATTAAAAACATAATCGATGGTTCGTTAAACTACTAAATCAACAACGAAGATTATTTTGTTTACTTACCTAAAATAATATACTGCAAAGCAGAGCAGGAAAATGACAGGCAGGATTAGTTGACAAATCACGTGAAGTCTCAGATCCAACGGAGCAGAGTCACACGTCGGTCACCGCCTCCTGACATAAATCGTCTGCTGCGGCCATAGATCGGCTATAATGAACCGACAGATAGGAAGTATTATTTGAATCGCCAAAGCAGAGTAAAGCCAAATGGATATCACCGCCAGTAACGGCGCCAAATGACCCGTGCCTATTGATAAAGTCAAAAATAAAAAAAAGAATAAAAAAAATTTTGTTCTTTCTTTCCGTTATCTGTTTTAATTTGGACTACGAGAGAAGAAGGGAAAGAATTCAGTCAAATAAAAAGAAAACGTGCGTAACGTAATCGCTTTGCAGCTAAACAAAATCTTACGGACAACACGTGCCTGTCTTTTCTTTTCTTCCTTTTTTTTTTTTTTTTTTTTTAATAGTTTTATATTTTTGCCGCATGAGCGAGAAGGAAATGAGATCTTTGATCTATAAAAATTTAAGATATTAATATGAAGATTTAAATTTGAATAAGTTTCCGCTGTTGATTAGTTAATGCTAATATTTGCTTTGAATACTAATATTACTACACAGAGTCAATTATTGTCAGCATGATGAAATATTGATACAAAATTATGCACAAGTTTCCTCAGAGATACTTTGAGGTTAAAGAGCAGATTCTAAGGTTAAGCTGTACTTGAAAAGAAGATAAAGAAGAGAGAGAAAAGAAGAGAGAGAGTTTAGATAATTAAAATAAATACTGCTTTATTGAATTACTAATTCAGATGATGCATATGAGGCGGTGTGAAAAAAGTTACACAACTAAATCCCTAATCTCGAATGATTAGTCATACAGCCACGGTTAATAAAATAAGGAGGCTTTTTAACTACGATAATTTTGGTGGAGTAACAAGTTTTAGTAAAAATACAACAAAATTTGAATTTTTAATATGGGTCTTTACAGAGGAAGCTTTAAATTAGTACGCTCAGTGTTTTCCTATCCTACTAAGGAATATTATTTTTTTTTTCTCTTTTTCTAACTCTTCACCCCCTCCTCCCAAAAAAATAATAAAGAAAAAGAGAAAGATACTTAAAGAATAAATAAAAGGAGAAAAAATAAAAAGAGAAAGAAGATTTTTAACAGTGGTCTAAAAATCAAATTGTATGCTGGTTGTGTGTTCGATTTGGAAGCATCTGACGAGGCAGAAAAGCTTCCGATAAAAAAAAAGGATTATTTTCTCTTCATTGTTACTTACAAACCTATCGGAAAGAGCTACTTCATTTCAGACTTCTACCAACCAGCACATCAGACGGTGAAATATTTAATCTTTTGGAAGAGTTTTTTTTTTTTTTTAATTAAATGAAATATTGTGGGAAACTGTTGGATAGAGTGTTTACATACTTTCAGAACGATTTCGGAACCCTTTAATTAATGCTTAAAATTCTAAAGAGTGTTATTTTAAATATACGAGCAGATAGTATCTCTCTCTCTTTTTTTTTTTTTTTTTTTTTTTTTTTTTACATCGTGATTTTACGTAAGAGAAGGGCTTTACGTAAAATTTCCAGGTGTATGATTTCCATCCCTCTTCCAGTACCTTACGAAGTCCGTCAATCGCGATGGATGTGTATTTAGAAAGAGCTCTTTTCAAAACACAAAAGGCACAAGTCCATAGGTGGATCATTGTGACTATCGGCCCAAGGCGTTGGCTTCCGGAGTACCTTTGCAAATTAATGCAATTACCTCCACAACTTCGTTAAGGAAACTGAATTAATTAAGAAAGAGCAATGGCTAAAGAAAAGTGAACGAAACCATTAAGGGTTTAGTGATAAAAGAAGTGAATAAGAAGTTCACGCAGAGGGACGAAAACTTCTTTCCGCTTTCAATTTGTTTTACAAAATTGAAAGAGAGAGAGGTGATTGTTAAGGCGTGACTATCGGGACTTCGCAGGAACACGTTGAAAAGGTAAACCTTGCACACACATACACGCAAAAAAAGGGGGGACAGTTCTATATCTCCCGTTCTGCTGGACCGATTGTCGATAATTCACTTGGCAAACTTCTCCATTTGTAACAACCTATTTTCGTTTTCCTTTTTTAGCCCAAAAGGCGTTAGCCCAGAAGGGCTTATAATACCGTTTTGGCATTTTGCGTCGAAAACTTTACAAGTCTGATCCACTTTTCAAATTGTTGCCACCAAATATTAGAGCCGGGTAATATATTTAAAGAAATTAAATAATGAAGAATCTGCATAAATGTATGTATGTTTCTCGCATTGTGATAAAACAACGGTACCTAGAGCCATCGAATTTTGAATAAGGTACGTCTCCACCCAAATATGGGCATCTGGAAGCCCAAATTTAGAACTTTGGAATTTTATTATCTATTTCATATTTTGTAAAGCATTTATGAATTTTTGATAAAGAAACTCAACGATTTCAAAGCGAGCAATAGCAAAACTGCACGGAGGGGAAAAAAATATATCTCCAGAGTGCGAGTCGGAAATTCTAGATATACTCGTTTTAATATTATTTGCGATATTGCTGTTGAACTAAATTTTAAGTTTTAAGTGCAAAGTATTTAGTAAATAAAATTTCCAAATAATTTTAACAAAATGAGTAAACCACATTTGGCGTTATTATCGCTTATAACAAATATGCCAAATTTCAAAAAGCGCCAATCTGTAAATTCACGTATATATTAGGAAATTTTGAATAAAAAACTCGAATTTTTTGCTGGTATGCTTAGAAATACATCTATTTTAAGATGATGGCAAAAATTTCATAAAGCGCCAATCTGTAAATTCACGTATATATTAGGAAATTTTGAATAGAAAACTCTAATTTTTTGCTGGTATGCTTAGAAATACATCTATTTTAAGAATTTATTTATGCTTAGAAATACATCTATTTTTATTATTTGATGGCAAAAATTTTATAGGCCTTAATTCAAAAGGTTTTTCGAAAAATTTATAAAAATTATTTTAAAATACAAATTTAAAAAATAAATCATAAAAAATGGGTGAATTTTATTTGGAATGAACCTAAATTTCGAAATGTGAAAGGAAGAATCAAATAAGTTTAATAAAAAAAGAGATATTAACAAATATATACCAAATTCAATTAACATGGAGGAGATAAAATTTTGAATTTTTATATTTGCATCAATGTGTCATAATGCTGGAGCAATTGCTAAAATTAAAGATAAGACAAAGAAATGCAGCAGCAGCCATTGTATTCTTCATAGGCACTCACCTCGTGACAAATGCTCTCGGAAATTAGGATAGTGTTGAATGACACTATAAAAATCATGACTTATATAAAATCGCTACCAGTTAAAATCAGGCTCTTCGACCTAATGAGTGAAGATATGGGAAGCTACCATGATTCCCTCCTGCTATACACTAAAGTAAGGCTCTTGTCTCAAGGAAACATGTTGATAAGTTTGATGGAACTGCATGTAGAGTTAGCAGCACTTTTGATGGGTCTAACTTTATAGTGGCAACGGTTTAAATGCTGAAGTCTGGGTATGAAAATTGGCATATTTGATCGATGTTTAGGAAAATGAACGAAATGAATCTATCATTGCAAAGAAAAAGTTTGATGCAAACGCCCAAGTATGCTTTTAAGAGGAAACTTATGCATGTAAGAGTAAACTTATCCATGGTTAGAGTGCATCGAAAAGTGTAAGGATTTTGTGTTAATTAATTAGTTATTATAATTTAAACCTTTACTGTAATTTCTTCGAAAAGTGTAAGGATTTTGTGTTAATTAATTAGTTATTATAATTTAAATCTTTACTGTAATTTCTTCCTTCCGTAGCCCTCACTGAAATACAAATTGGTTGTTAGAGTACTTAAGCTGATTGCTTTGGATGCTTTAGTGCGAGTTTTAACGCTTCCTCTCTTGCAGCTTACGTCCTTTCGCCAGCTCTATCAAAGATTACTACGGCTTTGTTAGTCGACATTAGAAATGCGTCATTTAAATTATTTGAGCCAGCTTAAGTAGACCATTTTTTTCACAAACGACTACGTAACGTGAAATTGAATTTCAACTTATGTTATTTCAAATACCTTTAAGCAGTTTTATTTGGATGTACAAATGATGCCTACTGTTTAAAGATTAATAAAAAGATTTTTTTAACCTTCACAGGACTTTGTCATCTTAATTCAGTCTGGATAGATTCAGACTAAGAAGCGAACTCGCTTATCAGTCTAGTAGGATCTCAATATTGGATATTGATTTAAGGTTCTACACAAGTAAAACACTACAAAACGTTTTACACAAGTACAACTCTACAAAGGAAGGCATCAATAGCTTCCATCTTGAACAAATGGAAAACAAAATTTTGAATGAAAATAACAACAAGATTGGAAGCAAAATACAAATTTGTTTGAATATTATTTTTTAAGAAGTGCTTGATGACTTCAAACGCGTTCTGAACGTGTTCAGCCTGAAGAACACAAACCAGCTATTTCTGCCTTTATAAAGGACGTGTATTGATAAGATGATTTCAGAATCTTGTCTGAGAAAGCAAAATTAATTCACTCTGTCACAAAAAACTATATGCACCCAGAAGAAATCGAGCCACGAAACTCGGCAGGAATGTAGTCTGGTAAGAGATATGCAAATGATTTAAATTTCGACGCCAATGAGACAAGGGCGCTAAGCGAACATGAGATGCGTAGCTGGGGAGTAAATTAGAAGCAGGTTGGTCATACAGATGTATCGGCCGCAACCTCCGTCGGAGCAATATGATATATGCTCGGTATTGGCGACTATGAATTACGGAAGGGACAGTCTACCGTCGTGGATAGTTAGGGCGTCCCAGGAATACAAATAAGCACGAAGATCGCGCAATCATAACTGTGGCTACTTCCACATCAACAACATCATTTACCACCTTCCAGGCAGCCAGTAGTAGCAAGGGAAATCATTCGGACACGACTGGCCGACGTCCATAAGAGGCCTACCACTTCAATAGCATATAATGACCCCACATCATAGGCAGTGTCGATTGTATTTTTGCCGAACTCGGACAAGCTGGAGTGTGACCGACTTGAGGCATGTCATATTCAGCAATAAATCCCGATTTAGTCTCAGTGTTGATGACCAACGCAGACGAGTGTGGAGGCGGCCAGGTCAGAGGTTCGATCCGTCATTTGTTGTCAAGCG